TTTTTTTTTTTTTTTTTTTTTTTGGTTAATAAGAATATATTCTATTAGTTTTTTCTATCATTATAAGTTAATTAATACTATATATAAATTATAAATATATATAAATACGAAATAAAAGATAAGACAATGAAAAGATAAATACTAAAGATAAATATAATTTTTAAGTCTCGTATTAAAATCGAAAATTAATCACATAAGCAAGTTAGAATAACACTGTTATATAATATTGTACTATAAATCTCAGCTAATTTTTTCTTCTTATTTTCTTTCTGTTTTCATAATTTCTTGTGCGCTGGAACTTTATCTACAATTGTTCCCTTAAGTATAGTATTTTTGTAGTATTTTTGTATTTACCAAATGAAAAATAGTATGAATAATATATTAATATTAATAACATCGATAGCTTTTCCAGCAAATTTAATAAGCTTTCGAGTTATAAATAACATTTTTTATCTTTTACAATTCTTTTTTTATTTCCAATATAATTTATTTAAAATATATAATTAAATATTTGAGAGCAAAAGTCATAAAAATATCTTTAAAAATCTTAAGAAAAATATAGATACTGAACGTGTTAAAATCAATTTTTGGCATTGTTGTTAGATGTAAGAGTAAATATGTAATCAATTTTAATTTTGTATTTTTTAAAAATTTTACTTGTTTTCCTACATTAAAATATAAAAAAGTTATTTTTCTGCATTCAGAATATTTCTTCTATTATTTTTTTTTCTATTGCTACTAAAATGTATTATACCAGCTAATCAAAATTAAATTAATATTTTTTTTTTGGCAGTTACAATATCTTTTGAGCAATATGTGTGATATCTTTTAAATTATAGATTTATTCTTGTATATTATATTAATTGCATTTACTATCTCTTGCGTTTATAAAACATCGTGTTACTAAATAAACTTACACAGTCATAACGTAACGAGTTATATGTAAGTATACTTTGCTATACTTTTTCATATATTTCGGAAATCGAGTTTTCATAATGCAGTTTCTGCAATAATGAGTATTATTATTCACTTTTTTCTATCATACACTCATATTGCATGAATAAGAATATTGATATTGCTATCACTCTAACTGCCTGTATAACAAAATGATGTTTATAATATTATTCAAAAGTTTATGAAAAAAACAGTATATGATTATGTTTTGTGTCCCTCTCTATTGCATTATTTATATCCTGATAAAATATATGTCACGTATGTATAATCATATATAAAACGAATAAATCAACAAGTATATAACAATTATAATTAAAAACAACTGGAAGATTTTAAAATATATATATAAAAAATTAAATAACGCAATAATATACGCATGAAGATAAATGCTAGGAAGAAAAATACTTGAACTTGAATTTAATGTTTGGGGATAGTGTTAAGTTAGTGGACGGTAAAGCGCAGAGAAATATTGCTAAACGGTTGTTTCCCGGTCCACGTGGATATATTCCACGAAACCGGGTTGTTGTTGTCAGGATGCTGCTCCAAGTAATGTTTCCTCTGTTGGGGCTCGTCTCGGTCTATTGCTTTTTTTTGTACCCTTATAATGAAGTCTTTTTGTACGTGCTCTTGACCTACAGTAAAATTAATTATATATATATAAAAAAAAAAGAAATAATCAATTTGTAACGCACAATATCTTTTGTGAACATACCTGCTAATCAGTATAATAAAGAAGCACGCAAAGGCAGCGATAATTCCAGCGACACCAGCTAATACGAGCCACATTTCTGAAGGAAGTAGTCCAAGCAATTTCGCACCATTACCACAATTCGCTTCGTCATGTCCAGATGGACAATGAGGTCTTCCATCACACCAAAGGCTTGCCGCGATGCAAGCGCTTAATTCAGGACATTTATGAGGGCAGTCACCATGAGTTGATGTCTCGTTCTCTATTCCTCTTTCAGGTAATCGTAACTGCCTACGCAATGCAGCTCTACTTTTTGAAATTTCGAGCCAGGAGGCTGCAGCCTGACCGGATTCTCTTGCAACGAAGTCGAGCAAAAAAGCAGGAGGTCGTGGCGGACCTGGCCATTTACCTTCCCCAGTACCTCCTAACCATTCCTCGGAGAAAACATGAACTGTAAACTCTCTCGCGCCTGGTTCTGCAGGACACACTACTTTTAACAGTTTCGGTGGCCAACCAGAATAAAGAAGAATTCTATTGGTAGTCGGGCATTTAGTTTGTTCGCTCATTTCCGATATCGGTGATGGTTCGAGAGGAAGGAACCAGCCCCAAGTTAAAACGAAAAGGGATCTATTTTCGCGCGCTTCTACCAACCATGGTAATCCATCGCAATAAATATCTGGTCTCGATAATGGTGGAGTCACAAATCGTAATTCACCGCCTGTAAAAATGATTTCTTATATATAAGAATTTGTAAAAATATTAAA